CTTATATGGTTTTGGACTGCTAAAAAGTTGTATCATAAGCTGATGTGCATGTACAGCGGAGGGTGTGTGGAATATTTTTCAAGAAGTGTGATTTTAGATATACTTTGTTATATAAGCTTGTTACATTAGCAATTGTTGGGTTGAACCATAGTGAGTAATCTTGGCCATCATACTGAGCAAGATCGACGATGGAGGAATTAGTTTCAGGTGCAGCACAGGGCTTGGAAGATTGTTTTTAAATAGTGCCATTAACCTCAATAGTCTAAATGACAAGAATACAAGACACCATCATGTAGGCCCTCCTACTAAAGCTGTTACTACTGTGTTCATTAAGGACATAACATTTCAGTCTGTCTATTACTGTTGGCTGTATTAGAGTTCCAAAATAATGAACTGTGAGAGATCAGTCAATTAATGGAAATGGATATCTCTTTTCAAATAAGCTTTAATTTGTTTTGGATATTCACACAAAGCTATACAAAGGCTATCTCTGATAGCCATCCTTATTTTAGAACTGAGAGACTAGAGGAAAGGTAGTTGATAGCACTTACTGCTAACCATTGGGCTACTCTAATCAAATAATGAGTTGACCAACACTCTTAGAACACCCATGGTTCCAAAATGCAGAACACAATTGTTCTGGCAATGGGATGCAAACCCTGGACCTTCAAATTCACAGTTTGGCATACTAGGGGCCACAGGAAATTAAAAATAAAAAGCGTAAACACGATAACTGGCTCTAAAGTAGCTTTTGTTTACGGTATATGCATATAATTCATGGACACCAAACTTTCTGTACACTGTGCAGATTCAGAAGAGCTAAATATCAGTAATCCAATAAACAGTCTGTTTGTGAGAGAAAAAAATGGCAGTAGGTAGCCCACTGATAGACAAGGAAATGTTCCTTGCTATAAATAACTAACAGATTTTGTGAGTTAAATCACTATGGTGTCCTGAACACACAGCCAAACAAAAATGCAATAATTAGTTGTTTGTTTCATTAAGATTGACAGTATTTTAAATCAGATAAAAGTTTTATTTGTGAAAATTTATTATTATCACGTATACACTGTCAGCTTTAGCAAGAACTTAAACAAACAAAACTTTTCTGGTTCTCTCTCTTCCTATTTAAAACTTGCAGGCACTAAACTACCCCACTATATACAGTGAACGCTTCTTAATCCAGACATCGACAGTCTGGTTTACTGATAATCCTGAAGGATTTTCTCATAGACAGATTTTCACAATGGAAAATTTAATTCACATATTTGCATTCCAAAACTGAACAGCAATTTCTTATAACAAACATGCATTTCCTATTGATACATGATTCAGTAATCTGCACGACTCGACGAAAGTCAAATAGTCAATAAGAACAGGAAACGAGATGGCTACAGAACATCTGCTCTAACTAGTAGGTACTAGTTTATGACAGACGTTCTGAGAACGACCTTCACTCCCAATGGGTACTGATTTACAGCAACTTTTTTGATACTAATCTTCAGTGTAGGGATGTACATAAAATTATAAGATATCTAGAGGTCATCAGAGTGGTTTAGACTAAAGTCAAGTTACAGCATCATTTAAACGTGGTAATGGTGTATACGAAAATGCAAATCCAAGTGTAAGCCTTGACGCCATTAGTAAATGTCTGTGAGAATTTACAAATGACACGTTTTGCCTGGTCCACTGTTACTATTGGAACTATCAACAACTGGTTCAAGCATGTCAAGATTTTGCTGTTGCCTGAATAGAGTGAAACTGTTGAAATGTCAGAAGGTGTTAACGAGATTGCTTCTGGAATTCATACCTTAATCTTGAGTATTAATGATAGTATTTTACTTGTTCAGTGGTAAAACATCAACTCAGCTAAACCAACTGTAAAATGAAGACACCATTTCTATTAATATTTATATTAAATGACCAACCAGTAGGTTTGTTTTTGTTTGGAATTTCATGCAAAGCTATATGAGAGCTATCTGCACTAACTGTCCCTAATTAAGCAGTGATAGACTAAAGGGAAGACAGCTAGTCAACACCACCCACCACTAACTCTTGGGTTGCTGTTTAACCAACAAATAGCGGGATTGACCATCACATAATAATGCCCCTAAGGCTGAAAGGCCAAGGATGTTCATGAAAGGAATTTAAACCCACGACCCTCAGATTGCGAGTTTAGCACCTTAACCATCAGGCCACCAACCAGTAGAAATAGTCAGTCTGAATAAAGCAGAATCTAACCTTAAAAACTTCATAACATGGTTTCAGCAAAAGAATGATTTGTGTGAAGATGATTAAATAATGTGTTCTTTACTTAAAGCTGCTGAGAAGCTTAAGAAAAAAAATCTGTTTAAAAGCAAACTGTGAATTACACCCTTTTTTGAATATGATCATTGTACATTTGATCAGTATTATACAATATTATCCCTACATTTACTTCTTTTTTTTGAAAAGTTTTCTTTACTTGCTTGCTTGTTTTTTTAAAGCAGTGTTTCAATAGACATAAATAGGAAGGTTGTATTTATAGCCAAATTTTAAATACAATGAGGTTGCAACAGTAATATTTATTGTTTATCTATTATCGGCTGGTAATTCCTGTTTTACCCTGTACTTAAGCTTTTTAAAGGAACAGTAAATTTCTGTAAGAAAGCTAACTTCAAGGGGTAATGATAACATCATTTGCACTAGAGTTATGATTTATTCTTCATTACCAGTAGTTTTTAATAATACTTATAAAAGCAGATACTCTGTTTGAAACTATGTTACCTCAGTGAAATTGGTTGTCACCATTGTTCTGGTTTTTCAGTTATCGTGTAATAAAAAAAGCAGAAGAATAAAAAAAGAACAGGAAATTCAAACATTTTACGATATTTGCAGACATTCCCAGAACTTGTGACTTAGTGATTACATATTGTTATAAAACGAAACAATTTATAGTATTGTAAAGTACTGATGACCTATTGAGGAGATATTTAAAATACCATTTCGATGAACAATTTGAACCATTCTTACATAATCAGTGCTACTGCCTGTTTGATATTTTGTATTGCGTAAATTAGTCATTTGAACAAAAGATGTTTTATGTGAAGATAATGACAAGACACTTTGATCATGCAATTTGTGTAATTATTGAAAATGTATATAATAATAAACTGATAAGTTTATCATACATACAGTTGTTTATTAGTTGCATGCACACTTTTACTAGTTTGCACTCTTACATTCGTCAAAAGATAAAGAATGTTACTAATAGTGTCCATTGTATTCAAAGTGATTGATTCGACTATACAGATGTCTCAATAATCCGGGCAAGTTAAATCATTGTGAATATATTAAGATGATGCTTTCATTTTAGGTAAGAATTCAAATTCAGCAGAAATGATGAAATAACCATATGAATATCACTGCTTTCTCAAACAGCTTAATTTTCATCAGTAATGTAGCTTATATGTGGGTATTAGAACTAACAAGTGCACAAACAGGTTCATTCCATGTTTTACTTAATATTTTGTAGGTTTTTAGCTACTGTGCCATAGCTGTCTTCAGGTTAAATTAATTGCAAGTTTAAATGATCTAACAATAAAAACAAATCCAAACAATGAAAATGAGTCATGTAAGACCATTTTCAATTATAACATTGTTCCTAAAGCACTTCAATTAAAAGTTTCCTACACAGATTTCACATTAAAACAACTTGTTTAGAATAACTGGAATGTCACGTGTAAAAAAATAAACGGGGTTGTAATCCAAAGTGATAAATTTATTTCAGATGCTCAGTTCTAGCATGAAGTTTGAATTTTACTATTATTTCCTTGACATTATACAGTAGACCAATTGTTTCATGATTACAAGTACTAGCATAAAGCCACCCTACATTAATAGATGGCACCACATTGTATTTATCATTTCAGCCATATACATAGATACACACTTAAATCCATTTTGTAAGAAGATATGTTACAGATTTCTTTTCTTTTCTTTTTCACCGAAGGTAAAATTGAAAAGAGAATCTGTGATGTAGAGCCCCAATGCATTCCTTGATTCACTGTGGTGGATTGCAGTTTTGCCTATTTAAGGCTCACTGCTACAGCTTGGGCCAGCACATCAAAGTTATACAGTTAGGCTTCCTGTAATGGTGATGTGTATAGAATATTTTATGGAGCATTTGAGTCCTTTTTAATTCACCATATATATAATCATTAAACAGTCTTGCAGGTTGAAATGATGAAGTTTCAAAATATTTCCAAAAGAAAGAAAATAAAGAATTGTAGATCAGATAAAAATTATTTTGATCTTACCAGAAGATAAGCTTCACTGTAATTACAACACAAGCCAGGTTATGAAGAATAGATCAAAACTATCATCTGTGAAAGTTCAAAGAAGTTAAATTGAATCCTACTTGAAAGACTTAAAATGAAATCAAGCAGAGACTGAAAAAGTTGTTAATTTTATAAAGAAATTAAACCAATTCTAAAGTGCACGATTTTATTTTACATTGTACAACATCTTAAGATTTTGTTTTAAGGAAAACACTTGGCATTTTCAAAGTTTACGTTTTACATCCTATCACACGTATGAGATAAATGTAAAATATCAATCAGCTTTCACCATCTAGTTTCATTTATATCTGAAACTAATCAGGGCACCGGGTTGATAGAGAAGGGGGCACATACTTATACCATGTTTTTTTATACTTAGATAACTGGATGTAACAATTACCTATTAATACCTTGTGTTTTATATTTAAAGAATAGATTTAAGAAGCAGTAAATATTCTGCAGGTATTTTTTCATGGTTTGTCTGATTAAAACAAAGACGTATATTTCACGTCCATAGAGCATTTTGCAGATCTAGAGAAATATACTTATAATATATATGACAAATCTAAATTATGACAAAAGTTTTAAAAGTGTATTGATCTAAATTTTGATTATTTACACTGTAAATTAATAATAATTTAAGTTCTACACTGATTTTAAGCCCAAGATATTTGCAAACAGTATCACATTTAAACAGTGCATATTTTATATCTAGATCTTAAACATCTCAATAAGAAGTCTTCTTCAAGAAACAACAAGAATTAAGACAGAAAAGAACTTCATCTCTCTTTAAGAAGAGTAGATGGCATTTTCCTAGTTAATGACTCCTGAAACACTGACAATAAAATATAAGAGCAAGTTTAATATTTAAAATGTAAAAACTAAGGTCCCACATTTTTTGGCTATAAAAAAGTTTATTGATAATATGGGTCCATAACACTTTATATTAACTTTCTTAATGTCAATTAGTATATAAAAAAAATTAAATTTAAAACCAGCTACTAGGTAAACAGGGATGGATAGTATTATTCCTCATATCAGTTGAAACTAATTTGTATTTAACGTGTGTGATGATTCTAAACATTAATTCAAGTGTTCAATAAATGACGTGCATTAGTTTGTTTAGGAAACATTTATTACAATATGCGTAAAAAAAGCTCAGAATGACAATTAAAAACTCTCAATTACACAAACTTAAGGTTTTCATTGATGTAATATTCTTCATCTGCCCTAAACAGGAATTTCAAAGTCAAGTAGAATTATTCTCATTTACACTGATCAAATTATATGCTTAATCTGTCCGATTTGTTTGTTGAAAAGACTACAAAAATCAAACAAAATAACAACAAAAAATTTGCTGCCATCTGTCGCTTACTATATAAACTGTACACTTTTTACATGCCAAGTATTACAAATATGAAGCTTTTTCTAAAAATATAAACTTTTTATAGTTTTCTGTAGTAAACATTTACTGCTTTACTATTTAATAAAAAAATCAAAACTTTACATCATATTTTAATTCAATCAAGTTAAATTTAGTCTTAGACTTAAAGGTAAACTCTTGTAAGAATTTAAATCTTGTAGTTAAATCATCTTAGTGCTAAGCCAATTCAGTATATATCATGTACTCAATCAAATTATAATTTGTAGTCTCTTTACAACAATCAAGCCCCCAGAATAATGAATTCTAGTTATATCCAATGCAATTTTTATTGAAACTTTCAACAAATAATATACAAATTTTATTTCAGTACATTTTGTTTATTATTAAGAAAAAAGCTACACAACTGGCTAAGAGTGCTGTGCCCACCATACAAACATTAATGTTATAAGCCCTTATATTCCACATTGAATCACAAGGGGTCATTTAAAAAATTTAAATGAAAATGTTTTTTTAATACCAATCTACACAGCTCCACTACCATATTTTTCATTCCAGTTAAGGTAAGTGTCCATATCTTTGTCTGAGACACTAGCTCGCACTTGCTTTAGAGCATGAAAAAAATCTTCAAGATTTATTGGTCTAACCTGTGAAATATTAAAAACAACTTTTATGTCATAAAATCCAAAATAATAGTAAATTCTTTTTATTAAAATCAAAATGAATAAAATATTTAGTTTTTTTCAAAATTTATTAACATTTTCTGTTGTGGATTAAGTGAAAAAGAATTAAATGGCTTCAAAAATTTTTTTTATTCAGTTCTGCTTTTATAAATATGTATTACAAATATTTTTAATAAGAAATCTTACATAAATTATTACAACAAAAGTGTCAAGAACAGAACCATATCTAAAAATTAAAACATATTAATGGCTGCACATTAACCAGTCATACAAATTCTAGACTCACTATGTATTAGGTTGTCAAGAAATTAATGTCGCTATATTTTAGATGAAAAATCCCGAACAACTTAAATATCAAACAAAACATTTATTAAATGAAATAGTCTCCACTCTTATTGATGATGCTTTTCCTTCTTATAATCAAGTTGCTAATGACTTGATTAAGGAAATCACTTGACTTTGAAGCAAAAAACATATTGATGTCCTCTTTAACACCTTACACATTAGCATACGTTTTCCCATTCAGATGGTGCTACAGAGAACGAAAAAGATGGTAATCTGATGATGCCATATCTGGAGAATATGGTGGGTGGGGGAGAACTTCCAAACCCAACTCCATAATCTTGTGCTGCATCAAATGTGCCACATGTGGACGTGCATTGTTGTGGAGAAGAAAAACACCTTTTTCGATTGATGAGTAAAGGGTGTTTCTGATGGAGAGTTTGATTCAAACATTATAGTTTCTGACTATAGATCTCTGCATTGACAGTTCGCTGTGGATTGAAAAGTTCGAAATGAATTACTCCTTTGATGTTCCACCAAATGCAAAGTATCACTTTGTGTGGATGGAGTCCAGATTTGGGGGGTCGGAAGTGGTTTTTGTCTAGGACTGAGCCATTGTTTTTGGCATTTAATATTCACATAGAGAATCCATTTTTCATCACAAGTGACAATTTTGTCCAAAAATGGTACACGAGCATTATGCGCCAGAAGAGATAAAGCAACGTTCACACACTGGAAATGATGATCATCGGAGAGTTTGTGATGTTTACGTATTGCTTCATGAGAGACATGCAATTTCAGGGCCATTTCACGAGTGTGTTTCCTTGGGTTAGACTCATCAGGGGTTTTCAGAGCGTCAATATCAATTTCAACATGTCGGGCCCCTGCCATCACAGTTTTTAAGGCTAAAGTTACCTGAATGAAATTTGCTGGACCATCGTTGACACTTACGAACGTTCAAAACATTTCCATAAACTTCTTTGATATTCTTTGTGGCTACAGAGGCGTTCTCTCCCTTCTTGTATTCAAACAGCATTACATGCCCAATTGTGTGCCATTACTATAAGGCATTAGAGTATACTAAACTTTACACATTATATAGACTACACTAACATAACGTTTAGGCATGTTGTTTAACTATTATATGAGATGCATGTTTTTAGGGGATGGTTAATGAAAGTGTTCCAAAATGTGACATTAATTTCTTGAAGACCTAATAAAAATCACACGTATGAAAATGGTTCACACAGACTTCATACCCCTAGTATAAAATTTAATATGCCAATTTAATAATAACCCACACTTTAGTCACACAGACTCTAAACCCATAGGGTATAACTAAACAAATGTAGCAACAATCAACACACCAGTCACACAGACTTCAGACTCATAGTGTAAAAAATAATATTCCAATTTAGTAAGAATCCAAATATTAGTGTCACAGACTTCAGACTCACTGTGTAAAATTAGGTATACCAACTTAGTAAGAATAAACACACCAGTCACACAGACTTCAGACTTGTGGCGCAAAACTAAATATGCTAATTTTTAAGAATGCATACATCATTCACACGGAATTCAGAATCATGGCATAAAAAGTATGTAAAATGTACTCTAATGGCCTACACAACAGTCATATAGACTCCAGACCCATGAAATAAAACACTGCTAATATACAATATTGAATAACAAAATTCAAAGTTTTTGCCAGCAAAGATACCCACAAACTAACAACTCTAAATGCAACACTTTCATCTTATGCTACTACACTCAAACTTTCAACTTGCTCCCAATGCACCATTAAATATAAACATCGACTTGAGTTGAAGTTTTCACCATAGAAACTATTGTAATGTGATTTACATCTTCCTTCAGAGAAATCACCCTGAACTGAAATGGAACTTTTAACAAAAAAAAGATCATTAAACAATGTTCTAAAAATATATATATATGAAGTCTTACTTGATTTGGTGAGATACACTGTATTTGAGAAGTATCTAGACTCCGAATAGGTCCAAGAGATGCTTCTTTACATAAATTTGTCATATCTGCTCCAGAATATCCTATAACAGTTATGATTAATTTAAAATTATTACATTTATTTAATACATTAAATTTACTTTAAGTCATCTGCTCAAGAAGGCAGAGGCCATTTCAATTAAACAACATCTATATTGAAATTCATAACAAATCAATTTAACTGCATTCAATTTTATAACAATCACTAACAGCTGTACATAAACTAACATTCAGCAACAGCTATTTTTAAATTTACAATAGTTTTCAACAATGTTTAAACTCAAAATACCCAAAGTTCTAAACTCACATCAGCTTTATTCTGAATGACAATACTTACCACTAAGTGTAGTTAACTCTTTTGCTGCATAGTTCAGATATACCCAAATAAACATTTATATCCACTGATTGCAAAATTCAGATTTACCTCAAAGTTACCAAAAAAACGTTTCCATCTACCGCCACGTGAGGGAATACCCACCCTGTACTTGAAACAATCACCAAACCTGAATGTCTGTTGCCATCTGTGCTCAACACCTTGAAACCTGAATGTTTATATTCTATTTTTTATTACAAACTTGCCAACTTTGCAGGAACACATACAGAATCAGACAGCTTGGATATTGTTATTTAAATCATTTGTTTTATATTTTGTAATGATTTTGCCTCTTACTGACCTAGTTTAGCTTATAATTTATGCCATTTACTGGAAAACACTTTTCTTCTAATTATCCTCAATTTTTTTAGTTTAAAATCATTATTTTTCACTATGCAATATGGTTTTCAAGGAAAATTACTGTCAGATATAGAAAATACAGCTTCTTTCAATATTGAACAAGTAATACCAAGGTCAAGTTCATACTTTTATTGTTGGTGGATAACAGAAATTTTTTGGGAATCAGCCTGAAAATTAATTGTGTAGTGTAAGGTTAAATCTGTTTTTTCTACTTCTATTTTGTAATATATTCATTTTAAATAAAAACACTTTTCACACAATAATAAAACAGATCAACCTCAAATGGTAAACAAGCAAGACATATATTAATGGAAGAAAAAAGCCAAAACCTAAATACATTTACCAATAATAACATTTACATATGAACTGCTTATAGAAATTATGGGATTGTTAAGATGTGACTTAGTTTTATTAGTAGTCTAAAATATTAAACTAACCTTCAGTTTTCTGACATATCAGATCAAGATCATCATCAGATAGAGAATGATTGTGATAAGACAGAAGTCTGGTAATAATATGGCACCTCGCTGCAGACTCAGGGAGTGGAATGTATAATCTCTTCACCAATCTTCGTCGTGCTGCTTCATCCAGTTCTTGTGGTCTGAGGGTGATCATGAAATGGCAATTTTATAACAATGCTATCATTAATATAACAAAAAGCAAAAATTTACTGACGTGATTGAGCAATTCAAGAACTTTTTCAATGCCTCCCTCAATTCTCTAACATTTATCCTTGTAAGGATGACCCCAAAAGGATGCATTAAATTGCATGAAATTTCCCATAATACTTCAAATGAGAAGTTCTTTCTTCATCCTTGAAAATTTGTTTTCATGTCACCACAGGCGTGAATGGTATTCCTACTTCTTATTTAGCAAACATGAAAATTACTGTAAAAATTTCTCTAAGTTATCACATATTTTGTTACAGATAAGCCTGAATAAAGACAGCATGAAATAAAATGTAATGTTTTAGTAATTCTATACATTTTCTACATTAGATTTTGTTTCATTTTATGGACCCAACATGAATTATCAACAGAGGTATAATAAACAATGAAAATAGAATGAAAGATTGTTATGAAATTAACATATTAATTTACAGGAGATATGCTTTTTAGTTAAATCCACATTATCAAACTATCCATAGTGTTTTGTAATAACATTTTCAGAATTATAGCTAAGTTTCTATTCTGATAATATTTTACCCAAACTGATGAACCAAATAACAAAATAAAATTAATCATTCATACACTTCTATTTTGAAGTGATTCTACAGATAGTTAGCTTTTAATATATATATATGATTTAAATCCATTACTATAAAGAGTAAATCAATGTCTATTGCTTCAACATAATCAAGTGCTACAAATAACAGTTTTATTTTGTGACACAAATCTAGCCCATAAGAGTGAGCAGAGGCAAAACACAGATCTAGCTTTAAGATAGTTTCTTAAATGACAAATCGCAGAAGACATCATTAACAAATTAAAAAAACAAACAAAACAATTTAAGCCTTACCATTTATTACAATATTACTTCATGGATAGAAAAAAAGCATCACTTCATCTACTGATTAATTAAGCATTTACCTGTTTGTAGCTCCAACTATCAACAACCTTTCATCTGTTGAAGTAGTTATCCCATCCTATTTCAAAGATACAGTAAGTTATAACTAAAGATTGATTATTATTATTGTTCATATAAAAACTTCAAATTATTGGCCACACAAGACTATGCAACTTGATTAATTGGTCATGTGAAAATTAAACACCTCAAAATATTAGCCATATAAGAACTATACAGCTGGTTTTATGCATACACAAACACACACACAAAGCAGAGTTTTCCATCTGTCTGTGTAGTTGAACACACTGTTATGAATGAGGAATTAGCTGAACCAACTGGTAGAAGAATTCAAATCTACCTCCCCAAAGATTGAGTATTAATGAATAAGCAATCAATTCAATGTTACTGACTTAATGTGCTAAAAATGAAGATTCAACTGAGTGAAGAGGTCAGTAATAAAATATGTGAAGCAGACACTAAACAAGTCATGTTTAATGATGTATGTAGCACAGGTGCTTTTGCATCAGATTAATTGTGTGAGATGCCTCAATATTGTGGAAGGAGCATCTCACAACTCCATTACTTTTATAAGCCCACTCTTGCTAGTTGATAATATAAAACTAAATATATAGGTTCACTGGTGATAAAAAAAAATTACTCTTGTAGATTTTGTATGTACTAGAGTAAAAATGTTACAAATATTCTTAAGATAAATATAAAACAAAGAAAATATTTCACATTGTCAAAACTGCTTACAGAAACTACCTTTTTATAAAAAAAAAGGATATTAATAAACATTTCGTATGACAAGTTAAAAAAATGATATTAAGAAATATATTTCTTCTTTTTTTAGAAAATAATTCTTAGCTGTATTTCATTGGGAAAATAATATGAAATCTTACCAACTGAACTAATAATTCAGTTTTTATACGCCTTGATGATTCGTGTTCTGTATTAGATCTTTGAGTCAGCAGTGAATCAATTTCATCAATAAAAATTACTGAAGGCTGATAACATCGAGAAACTGCAAACAATGCTCTCACTAATTTCTCTCCCTCACCCACCTAAAATATATTTGTTAAAACAAAATTTTAGTACTAAATGATTAAGTGTTTTATATATTATTCAACAATCAAATACTTCATAATTTCTACAACACCTAATAGTTTTATTAAGGACTAAGTACAATAGCAAATTGCATTGATTATATAAAGTCTAAATTGATTTTTTATTTTTACTACACTCTATTGGAAAGGTAAGGAAGAACTCATAAAACTCTAGATTAAAACTTACTCATTAGCACCGGGTGGATCAGTTTCATTAGATCCTGAGTTGCAGACATGGAGAGAATTGAACAGATTGAGGCTTTAAGAAGTAATTCATAAGGTTCATTTTAAGATTTTCTTCCGAGATTCATTAACTATTATATCACAAACAACTTAAATTAACTGTTGATATTAAAACATTACACCTTATAATTCCCAAATTTTCAACACTCCTATCGTATTTTATCACTGTACACCCAAAAAAATTTGGAAACTGTATAAACTCCAGCTCACTTAGTCTGTTTGCATTTAAGCACCACTATCTTAGAAATCCAATCAAATATAATAGAATGACTTTCAACATATCAAGTTCAAACATACACAGATATTACGAGTCAAAACATCTGCAAGAGATTACACTTTTCATGTAAAGTGGTATGCACACAAAATTCAGTAATGAGACTTCTCATATTCTTAAGTTACTATAAGTTGGCTTATTTGATAATAATTAATGGATAACTTCTATGTATACACTGTTAACTGTAAAAAATAATCAATACAAGTAACCAAGAATAT